TTAAACAACTATCAAGTAAAAAAATTTTAACTGAAACTTTTTTCCTTAGGTTTTCTCGCACATCTTATATAAATTTTTTAAATAATTTCATATACATAGAAAAAATGGCAAGTACAGCACAAGTAACATTTTTCCTGAATTATTTTGAATGTTAGTTGCCAATACGAGGACCCATCATCCCTGATACTTTACTGTCCATTTCCTACAAACAAGGATGTTCTATATTAGCCACAAAACAAGCATGAGAATCAGGAAATTAATATTGTTATTCCCATTTAATTCTGAGATTCTGTTTAAGTTTTGCCGGTTCTCCACATGTCCATTTTTGTAACAATTGCAATTCAGAATCACTATTACATTTAGTTGTTGTATCTCCTTAGCCTCCTTCAAACTGAAAGACCTCCCAGTTCTTCCTTGAACTGCATAATCTTAGAGTTAACATCACATTACACATCTTTGGCTGAAACAGCCCAGAAATAATAATGTATTCTTCTTGGTGCATACTACTGGTGAGGTACCACCATACACAATTTTGGTTTATCTTATTACTGATGATGTTAGCTTTGATAACTTAATTGAGATGGTGTCTATTAGGCTCTTGTCCTTATACAATTACTAATTGCTTTATGAGGAGGAGCTTTATGTATATATATATATGCCATTCCATATCAAATTTTCTTTACTGATCTATATCTACATGGACTCAGTATTTCCTATTTAGTGAATGTAACTTTTATTAACACTATTTATTTTTTGTGCTCAAATTGCTCAAGATTTGACCACTGAGAGACCTTCCAATCAGGCTTCTGCATCCTTTTAACATATTCCTATCAGTCCTTGAGGCTTTCCTTATTTTTGTATATATTTAACTTCCAGGGCATTTAGACTACTTTGAGTCTTGATTCTGCCACTGCTGGTGTTGACTATTCCTCCTGATAATAAGCATCTCTTCCACACCTATATTCAAGTCATAGGCAATAGTTACTAATGAGTTGAGGCAAAAGAAAGGGTCCCATGGTACTGATCCAGAAATGGCTTTGTAGATCAGGGGTTTTCAACCAGTTATTCAGGATTTGGTGGTATATTTTGAATCATTATCTCATTAGTCTTCAAGCTAGTTGCTGCTGTCAAGGTGAAAGTCACTATCAAGATGAACACTCCAGCTAGGCACCTGTAGCTCACACCTATAATCCTAGCTACTGAGGAAGCAGAGATCAGAAGGATGACAATTCCAAGCTAGTCAGGACAAATAGTTCAGGAAACCCTGTCTCAAAGATACCCAACACAAAAAGGTACTAGTGGAGTGGCTCAAATGATAGAGTACCTACCTAGCAAGTATGAGCCTCTGAGTTTAGTACTACCAAAAAAAAAAGAGAGAGAGAGAGAGAGGGAGAGACAGTCCAGAAAGCTCTTCTCTGTATTTCAACCATATCCTTCTGAAATGAGATGATTTGTTAGGATTTTTAATAGGAAAAGAGACAAAGAACCTCTAGCTTGTTCTCCACATGATTGGCAGGTGTGGTCTTCATTCCCACCTGATTCCAGGGCCCAGAGAATTTATGACGTGAAGTCACCCCACTGTGATCATTATTCACAGTTCCCATGGTAGCATCAAAGCTTTTGAAAGTGGGGGGGGCACCAACTTGTTTCTTGCTACACATTATGTATGCAGTAACATTGCTTATCCATGAAAATTAATAAATACTTAAGGTTAATGCAAATAAATTAAACTAAACTTTAAATGGGTCTGTTTTATGCACCATGGAAAAATACAAAAAGCCAAAATACTGGATTCAGATCCTTAGGACTCAAATTGTAAAACTTGGGAAAGCCACTAAGTTATTCTGAGGATTTTTGGAGTTGTTGTTATTGTTGGGTTTTGTTTTTGGTTAAATGGAACATCACTACTACTTTGCAGACTTATGGAGGCCAGAGAAAAATCATGTAAATGTAAAATTTCTGCTACAAAAGATTATCATTCTTAACATTAATAGAGTTGATTTTCCATTATTTTATAAGACAAGAAACATAGGCAGATTTTTCAAGTGCTACATCATTCAAAGCCATTTGCCTAATACAGATCCTTTAAAAGAAGAAGAGGAAAAGGAGAAAGAAGAAGAAGAAGAAGCTGCTAATATGGCAGGCTTTTTGTTTTTGACTCTGCCCAATTTGTCCTTTTCAAAATATTCATAAATCATCTTCTTAAAAAATCATTCTAGGGCTGCTGGAGTGGCTTAAGAGGTAAAACACCTGGCCCGGAAGCATGAGGCCTTGAGTTCAAGCCAGAGTACCAAAAAAAAAAAAGTCATTCTCAACTTTTCCTGTGATCAACATGAACCTCACTATCCACTTTGAAATTTCTTCTGCTTTTTGATTGGAAAGTTAGAAAAGATTTGGTTCTCTTAAGACTGCTGGCTTCTTTCCTCTCCCCCTTGATTTTTCAGGAAGTACAAATATTAACTAAAAGAAGAAAGAAAACATCAAACTTTCAGACTTAGGTCTGCTGTTCTGGAATCAGTGTCACAGCCTGGTGTGGTCAGGTTGAGGGAGGTGGGAAAAATATCACAACTTCTCTACCTCTCTATTTTCCCATCTATGAAATGAACATACAGAATCTGACTTCTCACTGCAGTAGTGGTGATTAAATACAGTCATACATATGAAGGAAAGTCTATGAATTATGAAATTTTTTACAAATACTATGTTGGGTAATCAAAGTACTCATGATGATCATAGTAACAGTTGTCATTCATTAAATGTACTCTCCTTCCTTGACCTGTTTCTCTTTCAATATCCATAGCAACCCAACATGTATTTTTACCCCTATTTTACAGATGAGGAAACTGAGGATTAGAGGAATTAAGTACTGCTAAAAGTCCCACAGATGATAAGCTATGGAAATACAAACCCAGTTCCTGTCTCATTCCAAAACCTATACCCCTTACTCAAGTCCTAAATTCTACTTCAAGCTCCCTCTCATGTGACCCAGAGGCTCAAACTCATATTAGCAGAAACTGCCTTAAAATCTTTCACCTGTTACGAGCTGCTGCCAATGCTTTCTGTTGCAGGTTCCAACTTTTCCAATATGAAAAACATTGAACTTTATGGAGAACACAGAAAGCACATAGTGGATTAATGGCTCTGAATTCTCATTTATCTGCTAACACTACACTATCTATGGAAACAGCAAACCCCTTTTTGTCCCCTGTTTTTCATTCAAATATGTTCTGTATTTTATTTTTTCATGAGCCTCTAAGTGAGAAAATGACCTTTTGCTTTACCACTAAGTGAGAAAATGATCACTTTAATTAGAAAGACTTGACTTGGCTAGCCTTTTAAGGAATTGAATAGACATTATAATTAAGAACATTTTCTGCCTATGATAATTGTTTAGTTAACTCATCCCCATGAATCATTTCCAAAATTTTTATCCATACAGATTTCTCCCCTTTTAATTGTCTCCAAGTTTGCCCTGATAAAGTGTTATGAACTTATCATAAACCTGTACAAAAACAGCTGTCTAACAGGTGAATATTTTAGATCCTGAACTGGATCAAAATTATTAAAAACATTAATAATGCCTTCTAAATAGGGTGCTTAATAATACTAATGGAATGTTTATTTTTTTGGGAGTTTATTGGATTTTAAATTACCACAACTGTGATAACTGTGCAGCTTTGACAGCTAATAATAAGTTAAGTAGACAGGGCTTGTATGAATGTAACTTTGCAATAGTGACTAGCTACCACCTCAGCCCCCACAAAGCCATCACAGTGAGTCTCCAATTAACACTCCAAAAGAATTCACAATGCATTACTGTCATTTGAACATTTAAAACTAAATTGAATCATTTGCCCAAAGTATGTGTAACATGTTGACCATTCAAGTTAAATCACTGTATTTTTTTTTTAAGTCAATGTTACTCTTTGTAATTTCACTCCAAGAACTCAGAACTCTTTTCCATTTATCTAAACAACTTTTGGCAGATCTCATTTTTTAAAAAATATTTCTGTATTTTCTATTATAAAAGTATTTTTTAATTTATATAATAACTCTAGTCAATCACTCTTAAAGTGTCATGAAAAGACACTTGTGGACCCAACTGAAGATTCACATACATATGTGGTAACAACCACTTCTGGGAGAAAGCCCTTGAAAAAGTATCTTTGGAGAAAATCACATGACAACAATTAATATTCACAAATTGCAATGTGTAGAAAGGTTTTCTTAGATTATAAGTGTAATAAAAGTGAGACTGTGGGAAAGCACTGCAGAAAACACACATAAGAACTCATTTTCTGCTAATATTGGAAAACTATAATTGTCAGCTCTCACTACAACATCTGTTCCTAAAGTGGCTTTTCAACAATAAAGTATTCAATAGCAAAAAAAAAAAAACCCTCTTTTTCTTTTCAGAGATGTAACAGTCTAACAGGACTGAGTGTAAAATATTGTTTGACAATCAATCAGGAGGTTTTGTATAATTTTCATATGTTTTTAGTATTTAAGAATGAGTTTGAAATAAATGATCTCAGGAAATAATTTTGGAGCTATTATGAGATCCCAGATTGAAAACACTAATAGTAAAAGTACTCCAATTCTGTGTACTCTTTCTCTTATCTTGTTTGTTTTCTGTCAAATAATTAAAAAACTAAAGTTTATTTGAATTAATTCTGTTATAATGACTTTAACACTTGAGAAAAGCAGTGAAATCTTTGCTTCAAAAATACTGATTTAAAGGCTAGAGACCTGGCTCAAGTGGTAGAGTGCCTTCCTAACATGCTCAAAGCCCTGAATTCAAACTCCAGTACTGCCAAAAAATATGTACTGATTTAGATTCAAATGCTAAACATAAAACTCATTACAGCACAGCTTTTATTTCTTTGTTTACATATTGTGGTTCTGGGGGTTGAACCCAGGATCTCATGCATGCTAGGCAAACACTTAACCACTGAGATACATCCCCAACCCTAGAATAAAGCTTTGAGTCAAGAGTAGAAATGCTGAATTGATCACATATTATTTGTTGTTAAGTTGATCTTCATAGAAACATTTAATTTAGGGATCATTTTCATGTGCCAAGTATCTCTTTTATCCTGCTCTGACAAATTGTTTGCTTTTTTCTCAAGGTATCAGATACACACAGGGCTTCAACATTCAATCATAAGACCTACCCAACCCAACTGTTTACCTCTGGACAACGCAACCCTACCTCAGAAGCTGAAAGAGGTTGGCTACTCAACCCATATGGTTGGAAAATGGCACTTGGGTTTTTACAGAAAAGAATGCATGCCCACCAAGAGAGGATTTGATACCTTTTTTGGCTCCCTTCTTGGAAGTGGTGATTACTATACACACTACAAATGTGACAGTCCTGGGATGTGTGGCTACGATTTATATGAAAATGACAATGTTGCCTGGGATTATGACAATGGCATATACTCCACACAGATGTACACTCAGAGAGTGCAGCAAATCTTAGCTTCCCATAGCCCCACAAAGCCTATATTCTTATATATTGCCTATCAAGCTGTTCACTCACCTCTGCAAGCCCCAGGCAGGTATTTTGAACACTACCGATCTATTGTCAACATAAACAGGAGGAGGTATGCTGCCATGCTCTCCTGCTTGGATGAAGCAATAAACAATGTGACCCTGGCTCTGAAGACCTATGGTTTCTATAACAACAGCATTATCATTTACTCTTCAGATAATGGTGGCCAGCCCATGGCAGGAGGAAGTAACTGGCCTCTCAGAGGTAGCAAAGGAACATATTGGGAAGGAGGGATCCGAGCTATTGGCTTTGTGCATAGTCCACTTTTGAAAAACAAGGGGACAGTGTGTAAGGAACTTGTGCACATTACTGACTGGTACCCCACTCTGATCTCACTGGCTGAAGGACAGATTGATGAAAACATTCAGCTAGACGGTTATGACATCTGGGAGACCATAAGTGAAGGTCTTCGTTCACCCCGAGTGGATATTTTGCACAACATTGACCCCATTTACACCAAAGCAAAAAATGGCTCCTTGGCAGCAGGCTATGGGATCTGGAACACTGCAATTCAGTCCGCCATTAGGGTGCAGCACTGGAAGTTGCTCACCGGAAATCCTGGCTATGGTGACTGGGTTCCCCCTCAGTCTTTCAGCAACCTAGGGCCAAACCGATGGCACAATGAGCGGATTACCTTGTCAACTGGCAAAAGTATATGGCTTTTCAACATCACAGCTGACCCATATGAGAGAGTAGACCTATCTAGCAGGTATCCAGGAATTGTGAAGAAACTCTTAAAGAGGCTCTCACAGTTCAACAAGACCGCAGTGCCTGTCAGGTACCCCCCTAAAGACCCCAGAAGTAACCCTCGGCTCAATGGAGGAGTCTGGGGACCATGGTATAAAGAGGAAAACAAGAAAAAGAAAGTGAGTAAAAATAAGGCTGAGAAAAAGAAAAAGAAAAGCAAGACAAAGAAGAAGCAACAGCCAAAAGCTCGCTCATTTCCACATTGTCGTGCAGGTGTTACTCGTGGCTAAGTATAAATTTTTCCCATTTGCTCTCACCTGTTTGCTAAGAAACCAGAAAATCTGGCTCAGAAATATCACTGCCATAAATGTCAGATTTATTTTATTTTTTCTTTCCTTGTTTTCATGTCATGCCATTCCAGTGATTTCTGCTTCCTGGCTACCACATGGAAAACTATTATAGTTAGTGTCAAAGGTACTAATTCCATAAGACATCCCTGAAAGAGAATGTAGACGTTTATTTCTCTCCATCCTTTGTAAAAGGTGGTCAATCTTAAGTTTATGCTTCAGTCAATCAACGAAACACTACACTTGAAGTCATGAGAGGAGTCTATTTAACTTGCGATGGACAAGCTTGCTAATTGGATGGAAATGACAGGGTAGTATGGTTTAAAACTACTTTTATATAGTCAAAGATTGTATCACCTCAAAAGCCTTGGAAAATATATTTTCTAAGTTAACTTTTGCATCTCTATCTTATGAAAGTTGGGTTTTTAAATTAATTCTATTTCATGTATCATTCCTTGTCCTGTGAAAATAAGCTGTTTTTCTCACATGTAAACAGCTTGTACCTCGTTTTATCACACATGAGGGAATGTTTGAGCACACTGCCAAAAATGAATGTAACTCTTTTCTAAACACTTTAATAGAATAACATTTCAGTATAAAGTTCATAATTTATTTTTGAAGAAAAAAATACTATTTTGTTTTCATAAAAAGTTATGCAAATGACTTTTATTATTTTATTTTTATTTTCTACATACCATTACTAGAAGAATTTTATTTCACTTCTTCAAGATTACCAAGCACTGTAATATTATAAATTACTTTAATATTATGTGAATTCACAGAATATAACAAGAAAATTATTGTTAAAGTAATGAACTCATCATTGTTCAATCATTATTTTGAATGTGATAAGATGAATATATTTCTTAGAAATTACTTGGAAATTCAGTGTTTGTGCAAAGTTAATGTAACTTTATTGTTTCTACCATAAACTATTTATGTATGCTAATTATTAAAATGATTTATTTTATGGCACTAGAAAATTACTGTGGCTTTTCTGATGTAACTTCTAGACTTGTAGGTAAAATTGTATTATTCATCTCAACAGGCAAAAGTCAAATAGGCAGTTGAAGGTATGGTTTCCTAACATGGTAATGTACCCAGGATTTTACAAAGAGAGGTTTTTCCACCTAGCTACTGCATTGAGAAAGGTGCTCACTTACTAATAAATAACATTTATAATGTATAGACTCTAAAGTAGACACGGTGGGGAGAAACAGCAATGTAAAATGGTGGATCCTGCCTGGAATAGTTAAAAATCTACTTTGGAACTTAAGTATGCAAACACCATGAGAATTAAAGGAAGATTATCTATAGTCAAATTTATCGAGGGCTATCAAGGGGCAAATGTGGTTCATATAGGCCCTGGAGCTTTCTTTGAAGAGCCCTCTCCTATGCAGATGCCTCAAGCCACACTTGAGTCACAGATTGCAAGGACTGTGACCTATGAAGCTACAACTCTGGTAAGAAAAGGGATGTGACAGTGTGGCGGAGTACCATTAAATCTACATATATAAGAACTCTAAGGACGGGCCTTCATAGTTTCTGGAAATCTATAAAAGAATCTGCCAACTAGTACTTTCACTCACTAAGTAAAATGGGCAAAATGATTTAAATTCCCTTAATTTTAACATTTTATTTCTAGAATATATAGCTCCATTTTACTGTAAAGTATTAAGTAGTAGTTCCTGAAATTTAGTCTTAAAGGAATATTGTCAGTGTTTTTCCTTCTAAAAATAAAATTTCCTTCTAAAAATGCTGTGACCAGGGTTCTGATGAACAGCTGAACACTGCTAGTGTAAGCATAGAATATTCTGGAAGTTCCTAACAAGATCAAAAGTAGGAGCAAAGAGACAAATTAGGTTATGAAAACTAATTCATTTTGGAGCCCAGTAGATTTTACCTGTTATGATGCGATTATAAGTTCCCTACAAATTACCATATGTTCTCAATGAAAATAAATCAGCCTATAGTTTTCTATCTGGAAATGGCTTTAGGGATATTGATTACCATTTTAAAGAAAGTACCTGCCACCTGCACAGGGCTCTGGGTAAACTGTGATTTAAGAGAAGTCTCAGTGTCTTGCCCTTAAGAAACTAAAATATAATATAATCATCATGTATAAATAATGAACAAAAATGTTTCCAAAATGCTGGCAGCATATCACTAAGCATTTTAATATGGTCAGGAAGGAAAAAACAATACACTTGTCCTAATCAACAGAACTATGTTATCCTGGGGGATTTATTCTCCAGCATCCTCCTCCTAAACCAGATCCTCAGGATGCATTTCTAGCCTGTCTATGGCTCTTTTAAATGTAATATGCACCTTTTAGACCTCTGACCCTTTTCCTAGGATAACAAAAGAAACTCCCACTAGCTCTGTCAGAAGATAATTTGTGGATGCAGCTATGTGTCTGGAATGATAAAAGATATAAAAATTCTTCCTTCAAATAAAAACAAACAAAAAAACACACTTGCAGCATCTCTTAAAAGCAGTGGAAACATCTATCCCGGTCTGTGAAGTCTACCTAAAGACATTGCTTCAACTGTATTTATTTACTTTTTTGTCATTTTTCAAAAATAAAAATTGAACGTACTAGTTTTCTCCACCAGGCCCCCTTTAAAAATTTTAAGAATATAGAGGAAACTGTGTCATTGAAAGTTGAATACTTAGGTAGTCAATGCATTTTAATATTTGATTTTCAAAGATATATGAATCTGTCATCCAGATTGATTCCCTAAGCATTTTATTTATAACATTCTTAAACTCACCAATAGTGAATTTGTCACTCACAGCCAAAATGAGTATTGAGGGAAAGAAAAAGTTGATCTGCAAAAATCAGCAAATAAAATCCATATGTCAAAAGTTGAGAGTTACATTGTTTCCTCTTAGGGAAAATTATATCACAAAATTCATTCATTCAGCAACATTGACCAAGTCTTATAGTCTGTCAGGCAATCAGTGTGTCAGCTGCTTGGGATATATCAGTGAAAAAAAAATGTATAAAAATTCTTACCTTTGTGCAGTTCACCTTCTAGCAGGTACTCAGTAATAAACATAAGCAATAAGTAAGTTATATGCTATACAAAACATTGTGAAGAAAGAAAGAGTGCATCAGATCCAAGGAAGGATTCACTCAATACCTGGTACTGGAGATTGAACTCAGGGCCTCGAGTTTGAGGCAGGCACTCTACTACTGCTCCAGTTCAACTCAACACCAAGTTTGCACATCCATTTGTTAAGTGCCTCAATTAATACTATATGCAGGTGTGTGGTAGCAAGCATCAGGCTGGGTCCCTGCCTCCAATTAGTGTCCTTCCTCCTGGAATAAAATAACCAAACTCCTCCTTCTCCCCTCCCGTCACCACTACCCTCCTTTCCTGATTGATTTTTCTCCATAGCACTTCACATGGTTTATTATGATTCATAGTTTACTGACATCTTGTCTTTGTTGCCCATTGCTTCCCACTAAAACATAAGCTTCTTAAGTGATTAATGTCTATTCTATTTACATCTGTATTGCCAACATATAAAATAATGGCCCACTCATAGAACTCTTTCTATATACATCTTTGAATGAGTAAATAAAATCACACATATCCATAATATTCAGCTACATTTGATTACATTTTCTCTTTCCATTTCTTGTATAGGGATTTCACTGTTGAAAACAGAATTAATGATCTTTAAATACTGTTCTTCATAATAATAGCAGTGATATAAAGTACAGAAGTTTCTAGCATTATAAAAACTAACTCTAACAATGCAAGGTTGTCAGAACAGAGTGTTATAGCAAAGACAAGCAAAAATCACACAAAACTGAAAATAAATTTTATTTATATAATCTTTATTACTTAACAAGGTGTGTTATTATAATACTAGCTAGCATATTATAGAATACACTGATTAAATGAGAGTTTCCAGAAAGAAAAGACAAGAGCAGAAATAATGACTAGTTTCTTTGTATGAAGTTGTGAAAGGAAAAAATTAATTAACAAATAAACTTTTATGTCTTTATAGAATTTTGAAGATAAAATGGTCTGTGGCTCACATCATTAGTCTTTTATTACAAAGCTCTCCAATGTGGTGGACCAGGAATTCTGCTTTTTATCTAGACATTTTTTAAGCATTTTATTGGCTGTGTCATCTGTATGAAGTTGATTCATTGGTTAGGTATGGTATTATTTAAAGCATGACACCAAAATGTTGCCTTTGGAAATTAGGCAGATTTGAACATAACTTCTAATTCTTAATTTCATCTCTCTGATTTGAGATTTCTGTATTCTCAAATTTTCTACGGTTCTATAACATCCTCTGTCATTTCACTTATGTAATTTCAGTTAAAAATCAACCCTGACAGTTGAAAAGAAACAAGAATATCTACCTATGCATGCTATGTAGAAACTCTTTAGCTGATAATTATAAGTGGGGAGCATCCTAACTATGAATCAAATAAAAGTGAAATTTGTCTTTCAGGATAAAAATGCAAAAACAATCTTCAATGTGATTAACATCATATTAATCCTTCCAGAATCAAGGCTTTAAGAAACAAAGTCTCATCAGGCACAGTGGCTCACACCTGTAATCCTAGCTACTCAGGAAGCAGAGATCAAGAGGATTGCAGTTTGAAGTCAGCCCCAGGGAAATAGTTCATGAGACTCTATCTTGGAAAAAAAAAAAAAAACACCACAGAAAAAGGGCTGGTAGAGTGGCTCAGGTGGTAGAGCACCTGCTTAGCAAGCATGAAGCCCAGAGTTCAAACCCCAGTACTACCCTACCAAAAAAAAGAAAGAAAGAAAGTTCCAGCCTATAGTCAGTGGCTCATGCCTGTAAACCTAGCTATGTGAGAGACTGAGATCCATCACAGTTCCAGGCCAGCCTAGGCAAAAAATTTTGTGAGACCCCATCTCAACAGAGAAAAGCTGGGCACAGAGGTGCAC